AGGGAGCCCTGGCTGAGCTCGGGCACAGGCTGGAGGAGCAGAGAGCAGTGCCGGGCCCCAGGCTCCCAGATCCTCCTGCAGCAGCTCCACACATTCCTGCTGTGCTGCTGGCTCTGGTGCGAGCGAGTCCAACTGCGAGCAGTGAGTAAGGACTTGGGAACCCAGGGCATTTTTGGGCTCTGGGCCCAATCCTGCTTCCAGAGCAGTTAGTGGGAATTTTTTCCTTCTAAAAAAGGGAGAGATCAGAGCTGCCCAGCTGAGTCCTGCAAGGCCCTCGGCGCTCCTCTCTGGGTTGTGGGTAACCCCAGGCTCCCCTGTTGCAGCGGGTGGGGATGGACTGTGGGTGGGTGGCCGGAGCCCCCCGTGGGATGTGCCGGACAGGAGCGCTGCTGAGGCTGCTGCAGCTGTGGCACTGCAGTGACATTATCTGTGCTGCAGTGCCACGACACTCGAGCAGATAAGCTTTGCCTGTGAATGTAGGCAAAGTGCTGCAGGGGCACGTGGAGTTTGCTGTGTTATTTGGGTCTGGATGTGCCTGAGGTCCGGAGCCTTTAGGCCCGGCGCTCCCCGGGCACCGTGCGGCAGCGTGCAGGCTGCGGAGCCTGCTCCAGGCACATGTGTCAGGTTTTCCGAGCAGGTTGCCAAGCTGAAGGCAGCAGGCCTAGATTGGCCATAGACAGCGCGTGTGTGGGTGCGCAGGCGCCGGGAGCCGGTGCTCCGGCATCTGCCGAGCCTGCCACCCGCCCTTCCTCTTCCTCGCCGCTCCCAAGGGCTGCTGCGTGCCGGCTGTTTTGGTGCTGCCTGTGCCATCTGGCTTCCATGGGAGGAAGGTCCCATCAGCTGCTCGGGCTGATAAACGCAGCGGAGTTTCTTGGGAGAAGTATATACTTTCTTGGGAGAAGTATACTCTCCGTTTTTTCTTCTGCGAAAATCTGAATCTTGGAATACAATCCTAACAAAAATGTTTATTCCGGCGTTTGGAAGAGTTTATTAGTGCCTGGGTTGTATCGCCTTTGGCTTTCAGTGAAGTCCATTATTCTTTATCCGTAATTTTATATGGGAATCCTTTTGTGCTCCATATGTAGGCACAACTTCAGTGGACTTTGAGCCTTCTTTCAAGCAGTAAAAAATCAAAGGTAGTGAGTCTGTGATCCTGATAATGTAATTATGTGTTTGTCGGCTTTTTGATGTGTAGCAGTTAAAAATGTTTTTCTGGAAATGCCGGCATTTGCTGCCGTGCTGGAGCTTTGCAGGCTGCTGGGAAGGAAGTCCCTGGGCAGATATCTTATTTGCTGCTTATCAGCATTTTATTGAGCTCCTGTATTTATGTGCAAATATATTCCATAAATAAATCTTTAATGATGTGTTTTTTGTTGTGAAAAGTAGACGCAGCTCCGTTCGATTCTTCCAATTAAATACAGCTAATGGTGGAACTGAAATACAAGAATTTGGACTTCTTTCACTTGTTTTTCTGCATCACTGACAAAATTAACGCTTTGGGTTTGTTTGTTTTGTTTTCTACAACTTCTAAGCATTTTGTCTTTAATAACTGTTTTTTAAAAAACTGCTTTTTCTTAACCCTTTTCAGAAGCTGTTTTCCAAAGATTCCATGTTTTTTTGTGTAAGAGGAAAGATTTAAACTTTCATAATTGGTGTTTTTCAATGGCTTTTAGAGAGAAGAGAGAAAATACAATGAAAACTGTGATCTTTTGAGCTTTCCCCAGAACTCCTTCACTGTGTATTCAATTTGGGTAGCTTGTATGGGTATGTTAGAGGAAAAGGGGACACGTTGAGGAGAACCCAAGTAGAGGATAGAGAGAAGTCTTCTATGTGAGAAATTCCGTAGATCAGTGTTAAGGGCCCCACTGCCATCTCTGACACAATCAGTCCAGCTCAGAAGTCCCTTCCTAACCCACCCCTGTGTGTCTGGCAGCTCTCCTGGCTGAGATCTTGTGCAGCCAAACTTGTTCCAAACAGGGGTCATTAGTGGGTTGTTTCTCATGGTTGTTGTTAGCTATATAAATATCATGATTCAAGATGAACAAACAATAATATACTAAAGCAAAATACTGATTAAAAATTGTCTCAAAGACATTTTCCACTTCTTTCCTAAAATAAAACAGTCATGCAGTTTTTATTATTTTGATTACTTCTCTTTAATACCAGTGACTAATTTGCAGTTTTTCCTTAGTATCTGAAGACATATGTATTTATTTAGCTTGGGTGAGATTGGTCACGATGTAGAATTAATCACATCAGTAAGTGTTTCTGTGCTGCTGAGCACTCTCTGTGTCTGGATATCTGTTAAGTCAAAGAAAGCAGTCTCCTAAACTGGAATAGTTTTACTGTGTATGGAAGAATCATTTTGCTTTTGTGTTACTGCATGACAGTGATCTCAGATACCTCAGATGGTGGCAGAGCACAGAGAGTTAAAAACTCCCTGGGGTTTAGATTCTTATGTAACTAATGAAAAGAAATTATATAGATTTGTTGTATTTTCTGAGAAGTGGTACAAGCTTTTATCCTGAAAGGATATGATTGATAAAAAATTAAATGTAAGGCCAGAGTGTATAAAAAAATAGAGACTATCTGGGATCGGAGATTGACTGAGGAACAGACAGCGGTGGATGGGAACGTGGCCTCTGTGTCCCCTGTCCCTCAGCAGACACTGGAGTGGGTTCCAGCGCTGTCCTTGCTCCCCATGACTGAGCTGAGGTGCCCAGGCCATCAGCTGCTGAGCTCTAACGGCATCTGAAAGTGGAACTCGGTGTAACGAGTTCCTCCTCAGCTGCACTCACGTCCCTTTTCGGTTGCCCTCAAGTCAGATGCAAGGTGAAGCACTCCAGCTAATTCCACAGCCCTGCTGGGCCTGGCTGGACAGTGCCTGTTACGCAGCAGACAGTGGGCATGGAATGGTGCTGAGGATTCCCTCATCAACCCCCTGTGTCCCTCTCTGGGTGACAGCACAGGGCCAGCAGAGCCCTGTCACTGGGAGTGGGATGACACGCCAGCTCGGAGCAGGTGACATGAATGGCCCCTTCCCTTCCTGGTAATTAGCTCAGATTTAATCTCACCGAGTAATCTGATGCGTGCAGGGACGAGGTGGCTGCATTCAGACTCCTGACTCAAAATTATCCTCCCAACATAGCAATTGCCATGTTAATGGGCAAGAACTTTGAAATCTGGAGTTTGGTGCTGGGGGTGACTTTGGGAGGGGGGGTCCAGACAGAGATGGGTTAATGAGGCCAAGTGCACGAGCTTGTTGGCTGGAGCAAGTGCTCCTAGTAATAAATTATTAATAATGTCAGTATTGCCCTGTGTATGCCCTGCTCCATCAGCAGCTCACTGCAGTGGTCTCTCAGGACTCCTTTTCCCCATTGCTCTATCCAACCATTTCTGGGGAAGGAAAAGACACCTTTTGCAACCAAGGCCACGTGGCAGCTGCATTAGGAAGTGAAACCCCATTTATCTGATCGTAAAAAGGGGGAACCTGAGCAGTACCAAGGTGCCGGTGTGTTTTCCCTCCTGGTCCGGGAGATGTTTCAGCATTGGGCCTGTGAGAAGCTGGGGGGGTGTCTGCTGCACCTCTCACCAGTGAGAGCTCCTCTGGGTCACTTCTCCTCCCTGAAACCACTGGCACAGCGGAATTTGCTGGCAGAAGGAAGCAGTTGCTTCCCTTGCTGAGTCATGGACGTGGATTTTTTTTTTTTCTGTGGTGGAGGTTATCATGGACGATGCCAATAATCCCGTTTTATATAAATGCATACCCACATGTACAGTTAATCACCTGTCACTATGGGAGCGTTTCCAGCCGTGTGCAGTATCCTCTTTGCTGGTACAGGTACCTCCCAGCTTTGAATCTCTCCCGTGGCACTCACCCTCGGGTTTGGCACACGGCTGTTCTTGAGGAGAGCACCCGACTGCCGCTCCCACTGAGACAGGCCGGGAGATGGGGGTGAGGGTCACACACCTGCAGGGTGCAGGAGGCACTAGGGAAGGTTTTACAAGGCTGTGCTGCCCTGCTGGGGGGTCTGATCCTGGTCTGACCCCGCTGCCGTGGGTCATCTCGCTGCTCTCCTGCCTCGCTTGGCTTGTGTACATTTGCAGTTAATCAAACAAAATGTGCAAGAGTCTGATTAATAAATAGCTTGTAGATTTCGGAAGAGTGCATAGTTGTTTTGTTAGGGCCTCTCAAATGTCTTTGTATAGAAACAACTTGTTTAAAATTACTATTAATTAGAACAAGCATGTAAGACTGATTTTAATAAAAGAGCTCCTTTTTTTTTTCTGTTCAGTTTGTTACTTCTCAGAATTTTAACTTGCATCACTAGATTACTCTTATTTTTAAAGATAAACAACTTCTTTTTAGACTTGCTTGGGAAATTTCATTTCTTTTATGGTTGAAATTCCCCTATGCCAGGGTAATAGAGAACTTCCCATTTCTACAGTACATTACGTGGATGTTATCATAAAGGAATTACAGTGTGGATATGTTTTTATTACCAGAAACAGTATTTGCAAGTTCAGTGGTGGGGATGGGCATGTGAATTCTTCGTAATACATACATTTGATGGAAAATGGGTTAAAGGCAGAGGAATGCATCCCTGTTTTGTGCCCCTGGCTCCAAGATGCAAGAGCAGAGTAACAGCTCATGTGCCACGTCCTTGTCCGAGACAGGCACTGGCCTGTCCCTGTCCTCGTTCATAAATACACGCCCAGCTAATGCTGTCAGACTGTGAGTTCTGCGTGTCCCTCAAGTCCCAAACTTTGTAAGGGAAACTGATATATGGCCCAGGTTATTAAAAAGAGAAATCAACAGGCATATTTCTTGACTTTAAGGATTTTTTAAATTGCAGCAATAGTGGCTAATCTGTAACCGTCTGCTCCTTAAAGGAAAGAGGGTTTATGGAATTTGCAGTGTAATTTTCTGACTTGAAAATAGCATTACTGTAATCTAAAGTAAGAGAGGATTGGGCTGGGGGATTTGTATGTCAGTGCCAGTGGTTTGATTAGGGACAGAAATCTTGGAGCAGTACCTGATTTCTGCATGTGACTGGGGCACGTAGTGTGCAATGTGTGGCCTCTTCTTCATTATTTATCCCGTTTTCATGAACTGAGCGCACTTGGGGATGTTAAATTCAGATGGAATGTCACAGTTAGGTGGTTCTGCTAAAGCAGTTCCAGGAACTGTGAAACAGACTCAGGATAAAACCACATCTGATTGGGATGTGCCGGAGGAGCCACTGAAGTCAGTGGGAGGTTGCACCAGGCGAGTCTGTCAGAGCTAAAACAGTACAGAAAAAAACCTTTAAAACACTAGTACTACTACTACTAGAACTATGTATATCATGCAGAATATCTGGGTCACAGAAGCAGTGCTGGCAGTTTTTTACAAATCCAGTGTGGGACTCAGTAATTCGGAGCTAACGTGTGCTTTTGTTTTCGAAGGCTCTGAGTCCCAAGCTGCTGGGCTGGGGAACTGTGGAATCCATCTCAGGGTACAGTACCTGGGCAGTGCTGCTCCAGAGCTGGCTGTTCCCTGCTCTGCCTCTGCACTCCGTTTGTTCCTGGTGTACACGAACGTACCAAATGCAGAGAGGGGTCCTTCAGCTTTTCCGTGCTGTCCTAAGCAGTGGGTGCAGCTCCTGTGGAGCTACAGTACGAGACAGTTGGCTTGTTCAGCTGTAGTTTACTAAAGAGGATTTTTCTTTACCCCATCCTATTCTGTTATGTGGCCAGGATGTTCATTAGCTCATTGTTTCAGCTTAATTTTGTGACGGCACTATAATTATATCCCTCACTTGTGCTGAGGAGTAATTGCTGTATCTCTTCCAAATTTTATGTTGAGATATGTTATTGGTAAACTTCGAGTTTGGCAGAGGTGTTTTGAAAATACTAAAAGGCAGTCAGTAATTTTGTGTTCCTTGATTTAAAAGACAGGCATTTGGCAATTTCAAGCTTTGGGACTGCCCCGTCAGTGTAAATAGAATATTGATTTTATTCCATTTCCTATCTCATTAGAGTCATTGTCATGAGGATGAATTCACGTTGTGTAATTATCTGTTCTTGCTGACAGTTCTCATGTCATTGAGACTGGTGTTTTCAGCTTCCACTTTCTCTGAGCATAAAAATAGCATTCTTTCCTGCCATCTTCTCCTTCAGTGTTGGGCTTTTTGCCTGCCCAGCTTTATACGTCTTTTTTCTGAGAGAGGTGTGTGAGTTGAGATAGAGAAAACAGAGACGTCCAGCAAACCCAGTTACAGGAAGAGTGAAAACAATGGCTCTTCAAGAACAATTCCCAGTGCAGGGAGACATCTTATTTTTGTGTCAAAGACTGTAATGAGGAGGAAAACGCATCATTAACCTGGCTGTACAACATTTCTTTATAGCAATAATGGGAAGTAATAGGACTCTCTTCTGTGTTAGTTTTACTTTCTTGGGCATTTCCAGATAACCTTTCTATTGATTTGTGAGGCTGTTTCTTAATCATTTTCATTGACCCAGCTCAGCAGACAACTGAGTCATCTCTGTTACCCTCTTAAGGCATGACTTCTCGGTGTTATTTCTCTCTTCTGTTTTTTTCTGAGAATCACTTTTAAAATTTGCTTTCAACATTTTTTGCCTCATTTTCCTTGTATTCCCAATAATCAGTAAAGGCAAGGTCGTGCTTTGGCCAAACCAATGTTGCAACGTTCCCAAAACAAGTAGCAAATCCTTCCAAATTTCAAAAGTTGAACTTCAAAACCTACCTGTGGATTAAGAAAAGCCTTTAGTACTGACTGGCCTACTAGGTGAGGTCTAGAAACTCTGCTCCTAAATCAGTTTTAATGAAATAAAAAATAAAAAGTTCAGCTCAGTCCTTTTCCTGCCTGTCCCTACAGTTCTCCCTCTGGATTTGCTGCAGTCCTTCTCAGCTTATTAAAGAGCCCAAAGGAGACATCCCATGTGTCACCTGGGCTTTGCAGACAGTATATCCTGTAGTATTTGAAGCTTCTTGGGGACTCCTTGGTGGCTTGGAATATCACAAGGGAATTTCAAAGTGAGGGGAAATAGTTTATGGAGATAAAAAATTATAATTCTGTACTAACATCTTCCTTTATTTAGTGGAGATATTGAAGATAAATCTCTGCTCCACAGTCTGTCTTTATTTCTGCTTGAAGACTATTTTTAAAAGCTGACATTTCTGGCTGTTTTCAGGTAGATAACAAATTCTGACAAAACACTTTTTCTTCGAGTAACTGTGCAGACAAATATACATTTAGTATTTCTTCACGTTCTGAAGATTTACCTTCGAGGCATTACAGCTCCTCGGAGTAATACTTTTCTTGTGGCTGGCAGCCTGAAGGAGGAGGGGTGGAATTCAGCCTGGCTTAGTCAGTCACAGGTATGTCACCGACCTCAGCAGGAGCAGGATTTCCCTCTGAGTCAAGGGCTGCCCAATTCCTAACAGAGAACTTACTCCAAACCCAGGACTAAAACATGGTTTGGGGAGTTTCACCAGCAGTATTTCTCCTGTGAGTATGTGTGAGCACAAAAGCTAGTTTTCATCTCTTCTCATTTTGTGTGCTGCCTTCGTGCTCTCTTTCATTCCTCGTTAGGGGTGACTACTTGTGTAATGAGAGTGAAATTAAATATCTTGTTTGGGAAGCGTGGCCTTTAACTTGCATTGGCTTCTGCGTGTAAAATACATCAATTGCTGCTCTAACTCTTCTTGGTGTTTGGAAAAATCAATGCTTGTTGGTATGGATTGGGTACCAAAGTGATGAACAGGAAAAAACCCTGCTTAGAGCTGTTCCATAGCTTTGTTGTAGAGCTCTTCCTGCAGCAGCACCCTGTCCTGAGGGTCCCACAGGGAATAAACACTTATCACAGAGTAACACTCAGCAGTGGTCGTTGTGCAGCGCAGGGTGATGGTGGGATGCGGATCCAGCTCTCCCTGAGGAGGATGAGCTGCAGTGCACCTTGACTGGGGGCTGGGGGTGTGCTCAGGCTCCCGAAAGCTCTGATGTGCTGGCAGTCCTGCGTGGGGCAGCTGGGATGCCTTGTGGGCCTGGTGGCCCCACTGGCACGTGGCCCTGGGCAGAGCAGCGTGCTCTGGGCTTTCAGATCTCTTGGTGCTGATCTGTCATGGCTGTGAGTGTGGCACTGGTGGGAGAGCCAAACTGGTGTGCCTGGGCACTTGTTAGGGAACAAGTTTTCAAGACCTGAGTCTTCAGTATCCCAAGCACTGATGAGTAGTGACTGGTGGGACAGGATGACCCTGACTTGGGAGCTTTAGGCAGTTGAAGCAAATGAGTATCTGCGTTTACCACGAAGACAGTTGTTAACTTGTGCTTGTAAGTAATTATACACAGTTGTTTGTCTCATGCTAGCAGGGATTAAAAATGTGGCATGATTACAAGTGTCCTGGCAAGGAACCCACGGTGCCTGTTGTAATCTCATTAGCTCTGTTAGGTGTGCTTTCCTTCCCCTGTGGTTGTTCTGATCACTTGATCCCTGGAAAAAGACTCTTTGTAGCTTTTTCTTGTTGGTTTGCATCCACGCAGACAGCATCGGTTCCCAGGCTGTGTTCGTGGTGACTGTGGCAGTGACCTGCTCGGGGGCTGGTGGGAAGTAGGAAGATGATGAAGCCGTGTCTTTAGAAAGATGTTGACGGGAACAACCTTCCCCCAAAGGCAGGCAAGAGGATGCTGTTGGGGATGCAGTGATGGCAAGAGAATTCCCGTTGTTGGTGGTGTCTGTCAGCACGTCGCGGGCCGTGCCACCAGGGCCCCTCTGCTCTGTCCTCTGGGCTGCTCCTCGGAGATCCTCAGGCGGGGACAGGAGCCGCAGGTGACCGTTCTAGAGCTGTATTTGCAGGTGGCACCAGGCTTCTGTGGCAGAGCCGGGCATGTGAGCCTGGGCTCGGCGGAGCGCCATCCATCCTCCCGCCCCGGCCCCGCGGGGAAGGTGTGCCCGCTCCGGGGGCTCTGCAGCGAGGCTGTTCACGGTGGAGCCGGGGCAGGGCCGGCCGGGGTGTCGGGGCAGCGCGGTGCCGGTGTCCGTGTCCGAGGGGCGGTCAGCGGTGTGGCGGGTCTGCCGTCCCGCGAGGGTCGTGCCGGGGCTGGGCCGGGCCGGGCCGTGCCGGGGCCGTTCCCGCGCCGCCCCCGCGTTCCGCACGCCGCGTCCCCCGGCGAGCCCCGGCGGGCGGGCGGCGCCGGGCCCGAGGCGCTGCGAGGGCGGCGGGCGGGCGGTGCTGTCCCCTGTCCCCTGTCCCTGTCCCCTGTCCCTGTCCCCTGTCCCTGTCCCCTGTCCCCTGTCCTGTCCCTGCCCGGCCCCGCCGGGCCGCGCGCGTGTCCCCCCCGCGGGCGCGCTCGGGGCAGCGCGGCCGGCGTCTGACAGGCGCGACCTTTCATAAGACGGCCCCCGCCATTGGCTGCCTGCCCGCGGTGTCGCTGCAAGGCTCGCCGCGATTGGCCGCGGGCGGAGCGGCCGCCGGCCCCGCGCGGGGACGCGGCCCCGCCGCCGGGACTGCCCTGCGCGGGGCGCGGCTCGCGGGGCGCCCGCCGCCCCTAACGTGTCTGCTCTCTCCACAGGTTGGTACTAAGAAGTGCCTTTCCTGACGTCGCTGCTGCTTGGGACCGCTTCTAGAGCAGCCGCTGCTTTTGCCTTGCTTGCTGCCAGCTAGACTGCGACGACAGCGCTGCTCCGCTGCCAGCCCCGCGCCGCTGCGAGGAGGGTCCGGCGCTGCGCCCCCGCCGCCGCCGCCGCACTGTGCACTAAAGTGTGCCCCGAAGGTCAGAGCGCTGACGCCCGACGGCCGCGGAGAGGAGAAAAGCCCCAGCCCAAAGCCGGTGTCGGTCGTTGCTCTAAACTGCTGCATCTGTCTATGCCAAACTAATCGATCCCGAGCGCACCGCAGAGCCCGCTGCCATCGCTGCCCGGACGCACCTGCCAGCCCGCCGGCCCGGGAGCCCTCGGGAAGCGCTGCCACAGCCGCCGCGGCCCCACGCCCGCTCTCAGGATGGGCTGCTGAGCGCGGGGCTCGTCCCGGCCACGCTCCCGCAGGCGCACCTGGCTGGCAGTCCCGGCCTGCCCGGCCCAGGAGCGGGCTCGCCCCCCGAACTCTGGTGACACAGCTCTTCCTCGGGATTGCAGCCACCCGGTTTTACACGTACTTATTTTAACGTGGGGAGCGGGGGAAAACTGTGTTCTGGAGGTGGCACTTTCATCATTTCCAGTTTATCAGTTCAGCTCCTCGTTTTTATTGGAAATTTTAACTACCTGTAAATTCTAAAGATGGCTGTTAGCGTCACGCCGATCCGGGACACAAAATGGCTAACGCTGGAAGTGTGTAGGGAGTTCCAAAGGGGGACTTGCTCGAGACCAGACACGGAATGTAAATTTGCACACCCATCGAAAAGCTGCCAAGTTGAGAACGGACGTGTAATCGCCTGCTTTGACTCATTGAAAGTGAGTAAATATTACATTATATTCAAGGATATGTAGTTAATGAAAGAAGCAGTTGTAGCCGGAGGAGCCCTGCAGCCGAATGGGAGCGCGTGCTGGCTGCCAGCAGTGGGGTGTTCTGCTGCTTTTATTTTATTGATGCCTGTCGATTTGTTTTGCTGTTTTCCTCAGGGGAAGGATAGGGGGAATGAAGGGAAAATATGCCTGGCAGGGCTCAAATCCCCTGGTATGGCTACAGGATCTCATTCTTTGCCTCCAAATGATTCCCTGCCTGTAGCTGGAATAAAGGGCACTTCACGCAGAAACAGCAAAGTCACTGTAAGGATTCTTTGTTTTTAATAGCACAAACCACGTAAGCAATATGAGGATTTGTTTTCATTTCGTAACTACCAGCAGGTTGTTGGTGTCTCTGGACAGCTGATGGTGAACCTTAGAAGAGTGTTTTCCTGCCTGGGTTATTCGGGTGTCCGTGAGCACCCTGCTTGCCGTTCCGTGGTTGGCACTGCTGTGGTTATCCCATCTTTTTCCTAAATGCACTCGCCTAAGGGAGGGACGGTGCTTAACAGAAGGCAAGGTGCCTCTGGATGTGCAAGCAGGGCAAGAGCAGAGAGGGTCTGCAAGAGTGCTTATCCAAGCTAGGTACTGTAAATGGATGACTTGTTTCACTGTAGCTATAGTTTCAGTGATGGGAGTCAAATGTGTGGGTCCCTTTGCCTTCCCTTAGTTTTTCATGAATTAAATGAACTATGTAAAATACTCATCCCACAGACCAGTACCCACTTAATTCAGTGGAGTCATGAAAACATCAGAAGTTGGGAAGCAGAGATGTGTCTGTCAGCTTTGTCTCCAGTGTGATTTTGTGTTGCTGGGCCCAGCTCCCGGGGAGCGGAGCGAGTGCGTGGAGCTGGCTGCTGGCAGGGACGTGCTCGGGGAGGGAGTTGTAGCTGTAGCAGCTACTGCAGGTCGTGCACAGCCAGGCCCCGGCGCAGCCGGCAGGAAGTGGGTTACGGCGGGTTTGTGTCAATCCTGCACCATCCCGAGCTTGAAAACGTGTCTTGTCTCAGATCGGGGTAAAGAATAAAGCGTTACAGTGCTCTTGGGCCTGAAATACCCACGCCGTCACCCCCAGCCATGATTTAACTTGCAGATATTGAAGTGGTTTTGTTTCTGTGCTGTTGAAATTTGTTTTAAAGTTACGGTAATTAAAATGCATGCAGGGGTTTTAATTTTAAAATGTCAAAATAAGATGTTTTTGTGCATTAAACAAATGTGGGAGGTAGGAGCAGAGCCAGTGCTGGCGGGGAGTCCCAGCCCCGCCGTGTCACCTCAGTGCTGCCAGAACACAGGCCTGGCCTTGGAACCCCCAGCCTGTCCCTGTGTGAGGGGCTGAGAGAGCCAGGCTGGGTTTATGGTGAAACAGCACCCGCAGTGTTCCCTGGTTCCCAGCAGCGTGCTGTCTGGCCGCAGCGGCCTGACCCAGCCGGCCTTGCGCTTCTCAGGGCCAGGATCCAGGCAAAACGGTGGAAACCAGCCACCAGAGTGAACTGGACATGAATCTCCTTTGCCATAGGAGGCATCACCCAGGTTTATTGCAAGCCAGCATCCCCTGCTCAGACTTCTGACATTGTTGGAAGTGCCTTAAGATCTGAGTGCTGGATGGGAGGCCGGCGGTGCTGGAGCCAGGCGGCAGCGTGGGCTGGTGTCTGTGTAAGAGGGTTCCCCAGGCCCGGTGGCATGGCTGGCCCTTCTGCTGCCATCAGCAGGGCTCTTCGCTTCCTTTTTTAATGCAGGAGCTGATGATGACCTTTGCTAAGTGCTGCAAGGTCCGTGGGTGATAACCGTAGTTAGCGTTACTGCAGATCCTGGAGGAGAGGAGCCTGCTGCTGCACCGGGGAGTCAGTGCAGGCACCGAGCTGGGAGCTGGGAAAGAATCTGCTGTTTAAAAATACACTGCTGACCAGAGCTGTTTACTTGTGCTCCTGCTGGAAGGTTGGCCTGTGGCAGAGCTGCTGTGTGCTGGAGAGGCTCCCGGGGGATCGGGCGATCCCCTGGCTGCAGCCGGGCCACGGGGCAGGGGAGCTGCTCCCCGTGGGCCCCTGGCTGCCAGCGGCTGCGTGGGCTGGGCTGGGGAGTTAGGGAGCTGTATCGTGTACAAGAATACCTTGAGTAAACAGAAGAGAGAATATCTTCCTTCTGGGAATTCCCAGTGCCCATCACTGAAGCCACTGCTCGGTGCTGGGTTTGTGTCAGCTCTGGGTCAGCTTTGGTGTGTGCTGGGCTGAACAGCACTAGTCACTGTGTTACCTTGTCTGCAGTATCCCAAACTTCAGATGTTCTATAAAAACAATGTAGGGAAATGCTTCATCAGCTCTGTCTGGACCCTGTAAGGTCAGTCAGTATTTAGCACAGAGAAAGAAAGATTTTTGATTAGGACATTCAA